AAGGTCACTGTTTATCAGAACATTAAATCAGTCAGATGTTTATATTTGTGTTGCGAAGAAAGGCGGGTAGTCAATCTCCTTTTTCACTCATTCATTTCGATGTTCTGGTTCATGTTCTGGTTGTTTAAAAATGCCTAGAACTAGGTATCTTACATTAGAAGAAGCCCTTCAAAGATTTTTTAATGAAGAAACAGATGATGATAATGTTAATAATGACCAGAATGAAACGGATATTGTTGTTGTTCTCCCAGAAATTGCAGAGGCTACTGACGAAGAAGAAAGAAATGGCAATGTTTTAAATAATGATAATCATATTTTACCAAATGATACTGCTGGGGAAGTTGAAATTCACATAAAAAGTAAGTTTCAACCTTCTAAAAGCAGTTATAGTCATACTAAAAAGTTTAAAAAGCAGAAGACTGAAATCTTGAAGTGGATAAAAAGGGAACTGTTAGTTATGTCTCAGGAAGAACATGAAGAAGGAGATAAAAGAGAAATTATAAAAGACAAAACACAAGGTAAAACTAGAGCACATATTTTCGATTTTTTTTTTTTTTTTTTTTTTTTTTGTTTTGTTTAGACATTTACTCTCTTCTCGTTGAACAGACAAATACATACGCTCAGGAAAAAAAAATGCCCAGAATTTATTGCATCTGAAGCCTATATGAGAAAATTTATTGAAATATTATTGCTTACAGGATATTATTCTTTACCTCAAGAAAAAATGTATTGGTCTTTTGATAAGGACATTTCTTTTCATGTTGTATGAGAATTTATATCACGTTTGCAGTACAGGAATATTAAGCAGAATTTGCATTTGACAATACTGATAAATTATATGAGGTGAGACCGTATCTAAACTTACTAAATATCAATACTTTTTACTACTGGAAATATAAAATCTGTTTTATAGATTTCAGACGCGAGAATGCATTATTTCTTTTGTAAACTCCTATTGAGAGTGTAGAATTAGCCAGAAATTTATCAGCAACAGGAAGACCTAGTAAATTCAACATTCAAAAACCATTGCATGGAGATGGTCGACATTTTATCGTAAAGTCCGTTGATAACAAAAGACTTTGTTGTAAAGAGTACCATAGCCAGACTGTTTATAGATGCAAAGTATGTAATGTAGCTTTACATCATGATTGTAATCAAGCTTTTCATGCTTGAATCTTTCAAATGAAATAATCTGCATTTGTAAAAGAAATACAATGTATATTTTAATATTAAATTAATACAGCTAAAAAGTAATACTGCACTCCACTCAAAAGAAACGTCACACGAGTACAATCCTACTCACTAAACATCCGTAATCTTATTCCGCTGACGTTGCGCGAATGCAACACTCGCTTTTTCCACAGGTAAGAGCATTTTTTTTTTTTTTATTTGAATGTAAATTTATGTTATAAATGCTTAATTTAATATTTGTTATTATTTTCATGACAAAAGAAACATTCCTTGTAGTTTTGGCGGTTAATGGGTTAAGGAATCATAAGGTAATTTTCCATACATTAAGTACAATGGTGGGAATTTTGTTACAGAATGAGGGATGTTATTATATTCTTCAGTTACTTGGGGTAATAATTTTCTCTATGCAATATTACTTTGATAAGAATTTAGCTTACATTTTAATATAGTTATAATTGTTTGATTAACATGTTCAATTTTACTATTAGTGTGGGGTCTATTTGCTGTAGTCAGTAATTGTTTTACATTATGATTCCTTAGAAAGTGCTTAAATTTTGAAGATATAAAAGCAGCAGTCCTATCACTTAAAATTTTTTGGGTACCTGAATTTGAAAAATTTGTCTTAAGCAATTTATATAAGTATCAGTAGTTACACTTTTAGAAGCAAAAGTCCGAATATATCTGGTTGCATGATCAGTAATTATGTGAATATACACTTTTTAGTAGAATTATAATAATTTAAACCACCAACAATATCAATAGATAATATTTCAAAAGGTTCACTAACTGAGGGTAAATTTTGTATTAAACCAAATTTCTTTTGTTTACTTTTCTTATTAAACTGACATACTTCACAATGCTTGCAATAAATTTAGCAATGAAGACACGCGAATATGACCAAATTGTAGATGTACTTTTTCAAGTAATTTAGTACGAAGAGACATTGGAATTACAATTTTATACAGTCCTTGTTTTTTAACAGTTAACACATCATTCATTTTCTTATATTTAGGATTACAAAGATTGTCTATATTTTGATATTCTTTTATTTCTTGCAATGATAATAAATTAACTTGTAATCTTAAATGCTGACAAATAGGATTTCTAGAAAGCATGTCAGCTTCAACATTAGTGGAACCTTTATTATACTTTATATCAAAATCATACATAGATAATTTTAAAGACCATCTAAATAAACGACTTATAGGATGTTTTATATTTTTAAGCCAAACTAAAGCAGCATGTTCAGTATGTACTGTAAACTGATAACCATGTAAATAATAATAAAATTTATCAATTGTATCATTAATAGATAAACATTCCAGCTCAGTAATTGCATAATTTTGTTCGTAAGACCTTAATTTTCTAGAATGAAAAGCAATTGGATGTAAACTACCATCAGGATATCCTCCCCCCCCCCTTCAAGAAATAAAAGGCGTAGCGACAGAGAAGCCTTTTTAAAGAAAAAGCGTTAAAGCACTAGCAAATTAAAAAATAATAATTAATCATAAAATTTTGATCTTGTAAAGTATAATTTATAAATATAAATTTTTTAAGTAAATTTTAATTTTTGTAAGATTTTGTATTTTAATTTTGTAGGATTTTGTATTTTTTAAAAACACTTTGATACAATGTACAATGCCAAAAGCCAGTTACTTTTCATTAGGCAATGGAGGTTTTTTGATATTTTGTACCTAGTGCCCCCCAACCATCAGCAAGGTAGTCACCCTGATCTGTTGGCAAGGACATGCCAAAAATTTGATTCAAAGTGTTAATGTCTTATTGTATCATATCATTATTTATATTGAATTATATCATAATGTTTTGTATTGAATTTTTAAGCTATTTTAAAATATGTCAATGGATTGTTAATTACCTACAATGAGAAGAATAAATGCACATCATACATTATTTATAAATTATATATTTTCTAAGTTTTATATGAAAAGAAAATTTTAAATATCTTCTATTCAAAAATTATTAGTGAATCATATTTATTGGAAAGTGCATAATATTTGTGAACTTATTAGTCCACAAGATGAAAATGAACTGATTTACTGGCCTCAAGAGACTTTAAAAAAGTATTTCATTCAATTTCAACTATTTTCATGAAAGGACTGTTTAATGGACATTTTGAGCAAATTTCAGGACTTTTATGCTTTTAGTTTATTTATTATTATTATTCCATATACAATTTAGTTATATGTTTATTTATAAATCATTGTAAAATTGCATAATTCAAAAACTTTACAATTATATGAGAAAAGATCATGTTTTATGATAGGACATAGTTAAAGCTTGTAAGCTATGTCCTGGATGTTTCTTTATGTCTTTCCTCATACTTCCTGCTTCACTAATTTACTAATGCTTTGCTCACCTAACTCTTGTTTTTGAGGGGGGAAGATGTAAAATATAAAAAAATATGTATGGTGGCTTTGCTCTACGCGAACACGCAACCTTTAATTAACTTTCTGCAATTCAGGATCTTCCCTCTAAACCAGTACCTTCCAGAACATTCGCGCCTATTACGTAACCACTACTATAAATACTGAGTGTGCACCATTTTGTGTCAGAAGCTTCCCTCTCCCTGTGCTGTTAAAACCTACACTGCTGTTCCCATCTTACGTTCTTCTATGATGCAGTAAAATTAAAATAATCTTATTAGTAACGAATAGTGATCTGTTTCTGAAATTGAATTAAAGTTATGGAATAAAGATGTACCATTGAAAACTAAATCAACTTGCCTCATCATTTTGGATTATTAGCCTTACCACTCTGCAAAAACCATGCCTGAACTTTGATGCCAAGCTTCATCACGACTGCTGAAATATCACATATATAATTACAAAACAATTTTTTAAAAACAAAGCATAATCATGTCTAGGATTTTCGCACATTTAAGCTGCTGAAAAATTACCAGTAAAGACATAAAGTAAGAAATTTAGAACCAATTTTTCACAAAGACCAAAAATTGAAATTCATAAGTAATAAATTTCTAATAATCCTATAAATGCAATAAGGAATTTTTAAAAAAATAGTAGAACCAAAACTTTTCAAACAAGCAGAACCCCAATTATAAAAAAATGAAATTTAAAGAAAAAAGAACGTAATAAAAGAGGAATTCAATCACTTCATAAGGAGGAGGAACACTGAAATCAGTGTAAGTCTCTCTTCCCCCAAAATCCTTTCTTTTCTGTATCCAGAATCAGCCGATGAACTATTACAATGTATTTAATAGTTCATCCAAAAATTCTAGCCCTTCCCCAAAGCAAGGAAAAAACAAAAGTAAATTCAAATTAAAATCTTGAATAAAGAGAATTCTGTTCAAAGAATTGAAAATGTAAGTGAAATAATAAAATGCTTTAGTGAAAAATTCAAATCAAAATAATTCAAATAGTTTAAAATGTAAGTGAAATTATAAAACTTTAGTGAAAAGAGATAAATAAAAACTCATAAGAAGTAATTAAAAACTTCAAGCACTTTCATTTAGAACACAATCGAAACTATGAATAAGATCGTTAGAGTAGTGACGTTTAGGTTTGCCATTTTGGCTTTGTTGGCGAAACTAAAATACTGTGGCATGAAAATAATTGCTCAAAAGGCTAAAATTTGGAACAAAAGATAGAATTTTGAAACAAAAAAAAATATTCTAATACTTCTATTAAAATTTTAATTTTGAAAAAGAAAAGATTACTTTACAAAAACGAAATTATTAAATTATTAAAACGAAATTTAAGTAAATTAAGTACATATATATATATATATATGTTGCATTTGATTTTTTTGATTATAATTCTGAATTTTTTAAGGTAATTTACAGATTGGAAGCATGATTGAAGAGCATTTTATCTTGCCATCTAAAATCTGTGGAATAAAAGGTTTTAAAGATGTTTTATATTTGTCTCAAGTAAGTTTTCCTCTATTTTCCCTGGGGGGATGTGAGGTCATTTATTAGTAATATAATATGTTTATAATTTTTCTAATTATTTTTAAGACATTATATATCTTGGAAATAAGTTTAATTATTGCTCTATTTCTCTGTAATGTAAAATAATATAGTTTAATTACACTTACGTCATAATTAAAAGTGGAGAAAATTCATTTTGACTAAAATTTGAAAATAAAACAGCAAGGAGTAATTCATAGAAATACTGCAGCACAAATTGTTACAGAGCTTAATTCTACATATGAGCTGACAAAATTCAGAAACAAATTAAACTTTTTATCTGAGTTTACTGTAAATTCATTAGAATAAAATTGCATATAATCAAATTTATAAATTTAGGGAAGGTTTTTGGTAATTAATTGTATTGTTTTTCTTCTTAATAACATATTTTTAAATCAAAGGCATTCTTTAGGCAACTTTGTGGTCATATTTGCATTCAAACATTCATGTTTTGGTCAAAATCGCTATTTTTTTAATATGTCTTTTTCTTGATGACTAATAAAATAGTTATATTGAAACTCAAGAATAAATTATATGTTGAAACCAACAAAAAATGCATGGGAATGAGGCAGAATTCTTCTTTGGAGGGCAATTAAAAAGATTCTTAAAGGAAAATAAATATAAAACAGTAAAAAACAAAAAAGAAAAAAAATCTGAAAGTTTTCAGATTTTAAATGCTTCCAAAGGGGCAATTTTTTAATGTTTTGTGTGTTACCTTTATTTATTAAATATCAAATTCTTTGCATTTAAACTATAAAATTCTGCTCAACAGCACTATCCCAAAATAGTTTTAAAATGAGCATATCTTTAGAATTTCCGATACAGAGACTCGCACGCTGGAGATAAAAATGTTTTTTTCTGTACAACGTTGCCGTTTCTCGCTTTGAAATGCTTGAGTTTGTTAATCAAAAATTTGTTAAAGTTTTACAAAACATGAAATCGATAATAAAACAAATTTCAAATTTGGTCTTCCACATGCCCATATTAGAAGGAGGATTACATCATTCAAAATTCGATGGCTCTATGTACCATTGTTTTATCACAATGCGAGAAATATACATACATTTATGCATATTTTTCATTATTTAATTTCTTCAAGTATAATGCAGGACTCTAACATTTGGTGGCAGCAGTTTGAAAAGCGAAACAGACATTTATAGTGATTCAATGCAAAATCTCAAAATGAAAACAAAAGTCCTTCAGGGACAAAGCCCCTCTGGACTAATAATTTATAATTGATTTGCTCAATTTTGTATGATATTTTCAAAGAAATGTAAAATTTTATAAAAGGTTTTAAAGATGTTTTATATTTGTCTCAAGTAAGTTTTCCTCTATTTTTCCCTGGGGGGATGTGAGGTCATTTATTAGTAATATAATGTGTTTATAATTTTTCTAATTATTTTTAAGACATTAATTTGCTTGTTTTATATTATATATCTTGGAAGAAGTATACTAAAGAATTTTGATGCAGCAAACTTGTTTATATACGATGTAACAGTACCATGTGGTAAAATCTGAAAGGGACGTTAGTCTCAAATGAGATATTAGTCTTGAAAGAGCATTTTGTTTTGAATCACTTTTCAGATTGTTGCTACCAAATATTATTGCCCTGTATATTTAAAGAAATTAAATAATGAAGAATCTGCATGAATGTATGTATGTTTCTCACATTGTGAAAAAACAACGATAACCTATAGACATCAAATTTTTAATAACATAGTCCTCCATCTGAACATAGGCAGCTGGAAACCCGAATTTTGAATTTCAAATTTGATTTATTATCTATTTCATATTTTGTAAAACTTTAATGTTTATTATTATTATTATTATTATTAACGAGTTCAATGATTTCATTGTCAGCAGTGGTAACACTGCAGGTGAAAAAAACATTTTTATCTCCAGAGTGTAAGACTGTCTATTGAAAATGCTAAAGGTAAGCTGTTTTTAACTATTTTGTGATTTTGCTGTTGAATCGAATTTTATATGGAACTGAGAATATGATATTTAATAACTAAAGTAAATGCACAAAACATTAATTATAAAAAGACACAAAAAAATGTTTTGTAAAGTCATCTTCAGTAAGAAAACTGAACATTAAAAAGGTAAACTGAGAAAAAACAAAAACATGCATACCAACACTTAACATTGCATCAGAAATTCTAAACATAAAATTTTAAAAACTGCTATGCTGCTTTTAAATTTTTGTAATTTTGCTGTAGAACTGTTAATGTCATGAGTGGATAAAAAAAAAAAAAAAGCTAAAATAACAACAATAAAAATGGGTTAATAAGAGTGAGTGTAACAGTAGACTGGTAGATTGCAAACAGCAAGAGCATAAAAAACCTTAACAAACTGTTAAACTGGGCAACTGTTGAAATCTGAAACTTTTTTTTTTTAATCTGTATCTTGCATATTTTAGATTACACAGGCAATGGCCATTAAGACTGAAACAGAAAAATATCGTCGCAGTCAAAGTGAAGTCGTAAATGGAGAAGGAAAAACTATGGGCGCTTTGTATTGGCAGCTAAATGATATTTGGCAAGCACCATCGTGGTCATCAATTGGTAACAAAATCTTTAGTACCTTAAAACTTATTTGGGTACTTTTCCGTTTTGCCAACTCAGGCAATAAAGTCACCAATAATGGTGCAACTGATGCCAAACGGAATGTCGTCAATGGTAACCTTTTACGCCTCATTTTCAAAAGTCGCAGCGACTTCTTATCAAATTGATTGTTTCTTTCAATACTGACATACAATTACATAGAATTTTTACCAGGTGATTCAAGTTTATGTCCTAAGGCCATTCGCGGTAATTAAGTCAAGGATGCAATCACACCGCTTACCCGAAGCCAAAGCTATAGAAAAGGCAAAGTCAAGGTGTTACAACTCGAACGCGAAATGAGTGAAAGTTTCTCTTCTGCCAGTGGCAACGGAGTCGAAAAACGAACTTGGAAGAGAGCAGTCGCTCACTCGGTTTCTCTCGATAGAATTTGATACTAAGGGGAGGATAATTCCCATCTTTTGATTTGAAATTAATCTTGAATTATGTATATATTGTAATGTAAAAGATGTGTGTAAATAAAAGTCATTAAGACTTAATTGAAGTAGTGATTTGAATCGAATATACAAATCAAAAGCACTCCCAAATAGAACTATGGATTATAGAAATAACACAAAGGTTAAATTCATCAATTCTAATGAGAATGCACTAATGAAGTAAAGCACTGCAGTTAACATAATTTCTGAGCTATTCGAACGAATTGAAATAATTCTTGCATTTAAACTTGTATTCCAAATTAAGATTTAATTTAAAATTAATGTAGATAATTACCAAGAGAATTAGATTTTTGTAGCATAGTTTACGTGAGATGAGATCACTTGGGCTGACATGATATAAACCGGCGAATCAGGATGTTGAACCATGATAGCATAGTAAATTCTTAAATTAATGTCTTTTTATAAATTTATTGTCTTTATTTATTGACTTCTTACAAAATTTTAAACGATATTAAAATGTTTATGTCTTCAAAATAAAAAATTCTTAGAACTAAAATTTTTTAATATTATGTGTATACTATATGTTGTCGCCAATGAAGTCTGCTTGGCGCGATTTGCGCCGGCGAAACGTAAAAGTACCCTTATTTATTGGTTACGAATTTATAATTCCCATTTAGTATTTGTTAAAACATTATTAATGTATTTAAATATCAGTTTAATATTACGTTCTTGCAAAATTTCTTGAGATTTCTAAATATATTAAAAGTGTAAAAAAAAAAACTATATACCGTATATTCTGGCTTATAGCACATACCTATAATTTCAAACTACATTTTTTAATTTTTAGGTATATTTGCATGTAATGCACACCCTTTTGCAAAATGCATCATGCCAGTCTAGAAATAGTGTGCAAATGAATAATAAAAGCAAAGAATGAAATTAATTCTGATATAATTAAAAATCATTTAAAAAATGTAGTATGTCTAACAGTGTAGATGGAACAGAAGATGATTATTTATTTATAGATCAGAATAACATTGATGGTAAAGATGGAGCAGAATTCAATAATATGTCTGAAGATATAATGGAAGATGAATTGATACACTTTTCCTGTTATCCAATAACGAAAATTTTTAAGTTCTTAGGATATGTCATTTCTTTCAAATAAACAGGATTTACGTAGATGTGGAAATCTAATTTTTGCATACTCATTTTTTCCTTATTTTTAAATCTACCATTTTTATATCCGTCATATAACACGCACCCGTAAATTTGAACTTTATTTTTTGCATTAAAAATGTGCATTATATTCCGGAATATTTCATAATTTTTTTATTTGGTTTTCCTAAACCTTGCGTCATTCATCTCATTTTTGCTTCTTCTGAATCTTTCAAATCATTTCTCACAAGCATCAGCAGATAGAGCATTCTTTCTGTAGTTTTCCCTTTTCAAGACTTCCCCAAACTTATATATTCCAAATAGTGAATACTTGATAAATGTAAGGAAAATTTTATGCAAACGTTATAAGGTTTTTAATATTTTAACTCATTTGTATTCTAGTATATCAACTCATTTAATTTGTCATTCTCATACAAAAGTATGTCACAAGAATGTAAAATGTCATTTAGTCATTTAATTATTGTCTTTATATCTTGGTATATTACATGCAGAATTGTACTTACACAAAGTTGGGAATAGGAAATATATTTGCCGTAATTTCAGGAAGAAACGCCGCGGCGTTTACGTGTTTAAAACTTAAATTTTCAGCGGGTGCGGTGTTTCTACCCATGCGGCGTTTAGGTGCACTAAAAATAAAATATTTCCTATGATGGTTATTGTACATAGTTTGGATGGCCTTGTCATTGTGCTTAGACTGGTGCTGTTCCCACACAAAAGACCACTCAGTTTCTTTTTGCGAACGTTATTTTGTTTACATTCTTTCCCTTGAACGGACCTACATGCCTTATTCACCCTAAACGAGATCTCAGAACAATAACATTCTTCCCCCTTTCAAATCAACATTCTCATCAGTTTGAATAGTCTTTCTCCTCTGCCATTCGATGAATCTTCCAGGACCCATCCTCTCCCCATGCCTGCCTTTTCTGCAATTTTTTTCAAAGGCGGACACGACTCCACCTGCCTTGCAATAATGAACTCTGATGTATTTCCCCTTCAGCATGAATGGATTTTTCTTGGCATTCTGCCAAATACAGATCCCATCAGTTTGGGTACAAGTACTTGTTGAATAGTTTTTAAGTAAGAAGGGAGCGGAAAATTTTTGAAAATGTCTCTAAACGGCACAGAAGCTATACATTTCTTACCTTTAATTTATTTTTGAGTTATGGTTTCATTTCATGCATTTTTCTGGTATGTCATATATCAGGACTTAGGTTGAGTTTTTGCATCTATACGGCCCACGACGATGTTCACGCGCAATTAATCTATTGCGGCGTTTACGCTGATGCGGCATTTCTGTGTAATTTTAATTTTTTTCCCGCCATTTTTCTCGAGTGCGGCGTTTACGCTGATGCGGCCTTTCTTCCGGAAATAACGGTAAATTGATTATCTTAGTCTTTCGTGCTTTTAGGTGAGGATTACTTTCAGTTGTAGAGATGGACTTCAAGAAATCTGTATAGTTACTGATTCGTAACAACTAGTATAAATACCATTAATATATTTCCTTTCTTGTGTGCATTCACTGCGAATGAATTTGAATTGGTTTGAATTTAAATTGACAATAAGCATAAAATAAAAAAAAAATCCTTTATTTCTTAAAAATATTTAATGTGTCTTAAGTTGTGTTTTTCTGCATTTTATGTGAACATTTTGAGCATTGCTTTGCATCAGAAAATGTAACTAAATATTTCTTAGATTATAAATTAGTGTTTTTATTTATTTATTTATATTGATAAGAAATGAAAACTTTATTGATTGTAATTAAAATTAAGTCAGAGAAGAAGGGAAAATATAATACATTTTTGCTGCATTTTAAATTTGTATGCAGAACATATATTTTTTACATTCTTAAACTTTTATGTTTTAGCATAAAGTGAGTAGTATATTATGTCAAAAGACTGAAAGGCTTTTTGCATCATAAAATATTCTTTTATGGAGAACTTCCCCAAAAAAATCAATCAGCATCTGTGGTGTAACTGGAGATTTTGCCACTTGGCACGATTCCTAAATTTGCTACCCCTATTGATATAAAAACAATTAATTACAAAAATGTCAAAACAACATATAGGGAAATAAATTATGTTTATTTTTAGTTCAGTCATGTCACCATCACTGACATTGTGGAGATCTATTTGATTGCTCCAGTTGGTGTTATGTAGATAGTATAAAAATACTTCTAAATGAAAAATAATCATTTATAGTTCTTAAATACTTTTTAATGTTTTTTTTTGGGGGGGACGCTTCTAACAGTTATGGTGACTGAGAGGAAAGTTTGCAATAGTGTTGCAGTATTTCGAATTTTGTTCTGAAGATTGTATTGTAGAATAAAATGCAAAAATTTAAAAGGATTGCTCTTCGAAGTTCTCATTTTGATTTCCTTAGAAATAAAACTCTGAAATACTCCTTTCTTGACGAAGAAGTTGTCCTTATTAATGTCACCAATGATCTTAATTTAGTTGATATTCATAATTTGCATTCAAAAGTTTCAAAAAATCAAAAGGGTATAACAAAAGTATGTAGCTGTTGAAATGACATTATGTCTTTAAATACTTTATTAAAGTAAAGACATTTTTTTTTTTCTTAATTTAATTCCATATGGCAAATTAGAATCTCATTCTTTTACCTGCCTCAATAAGTCACAGGATTAACCCCTGTAAAATAATATTTCACACGAAAAGTGTTTTACCCATAGTGGACCAAGCCCTGTAATGCCACTGATCAACATGTGCATTCACATCACACATACAAAAAGTTAGGAATATATGATGTAGCTATTTTATTAAGTTGTTTGGTGTCTTTTCCTGATCAGACTACCAGAATTCATTGATCTTTGCTGCTGCCACAAATTCTGGCTTTAAATTTGCTGAAGAATATTAAGAAACAAATGAAAAAATAGATTTAATTACTAACCAATTGCTAAAAGTTGATATTATTGTCATATCAAATTTTTATATATTTAACATTTTTGTTAATTGTGTGAAACTGATTACACTTTATTAAATAATTTTAATTCTAATTTCTGATTGTATTTGATAGAATATGGAGGAAAATGGAAGATGCTGCACTACTATGCAAAGAATTTTTTTTCTCCTCTTCTTGTTTCACCTTATGAAGAAAATGGAATAGCTTTTGCTAGCATGATTTCTGATTTAATTACACCTCTTTATGATTTAAAACTTCGTGTTCTAGTTTTTAAATGGTCATCAATAGTACCAGCATATACTGATGAAGTTATCTTCAGCCAGGTACATACATAGCTGAATTTTGATTCAATCGTAATTTAATACATGACTGAAATTTTCTTCAGTGCTTGTTTAATCCATTACATTGGTATTAGGAACATCCTTAACCGTTTGACTGCTACGCGGCGCAAAAGCGCTGCGTTCTGATGCAAAAGCAAAGTTTAAAAACATTCAGCAGAAATAGCAATAGAAGCTCCCTAAGATTATATACTGTGCAAATATTGAAGACAAAAGTTTTAAACTTAACCAATATATTAACAATATATATATATAAATAAAAATACAATAAATAAATTTACTTCAACACCAGAAACTTAAAGAGTGTAACATTATCAAAAATTACATTTAGTTGACTATTCATTAACCCCAAGGGTTTTTCCTTTAAAGAATATTACACTATTAATGGTACAGCAAATATATTACCTGATCTTTGAATACAGGCATTCAGTACGCGGAAAACATATCACAGAACAAAAACTACGCAGTTAATATGAATTTCATTTCACTATCAATAAGTCCATGCTTTTTGGCCAAGAATGCACCTGAAAAATTAAACTAAGCCTTGAGTGCACTTGAACCAGCAAACACTGCTCACTGTAGTTGCTCATGAGAAATCACAGCTTGGAAAATATCGCCGCTAGTTCTCGAAAAACACTTGTATTGAAGATGCCGCCTTTATGAAAACAGGATGCCGCCCACGGAAGTTGCTCACCAGAAACCACAACTTGAGATCTATCACCGCTGAAACGTAGAAACAGGATGCCGCCCACAGCAGTTGCTCACATCGTAGCCGCTTTTCAGAATCCAAGAAAAATCGTCTCGGATTGGAACCACGGTACTTATCGCTAGATGGCACGCATCGCAATAACGTCTTCCAATGAGGGCTGGAACGGCACACCTAGGAGCAATGAAACAGAAGGAATAAACCATATGACGTAACATCAAGTTTCATTTTTGCATCTTAATTAGGCTGGAACAGTCTGTTCTTAATACAAACAGTGGCAGTGAAAGAGAAGTAGAAGTAATTGTTATATACACTAAAAATAAGAACTAAACCTTATGTGCAAGTTAGAATTATTTCAAGGAGGAGAGATGATGCAGAAAAAGGTTTACAATAGGTTATATTTTTCACCACGTTCATTTGTCTCGAAAACGCAACGCAGTTAATTATTTTAGAATGCACTCGTGTTACAAAGTACACATGAGTTCAGACTACGTACATACGTTCACACCCACAACAACAAAGACGCACTGAAACTCGCAGCTCAAAAGCGCTGCATCGCGATTTTTGAGACAAATGAACTCAGCGCTTTTGCGCCCCATAGGAGTCGAACGGTTAACTGAGTCTTTCTGAAATTTTTTTTCTGTTATATTACATGACCATACTCTTATCATTACTCTACCACAATAAGTATTTCTACTGAGAGAAATATAAGGTGTTTCTTTATCTTGCAAGCAACCTCACTCACGGCCAATTATCAAAATGTGTCCATTCAGGAAACTATAATATATTTATTTTCAGATTTAATCAGTCTGTAATTGCTTAGTAGTCTGCATGATTTTAAAGAAATAAATGCATTTATTAATAGTATAATGACATTAGAAACAAACTCTAACTATTGTAGCAAACTCTTTCAAACCTTTTTGAGGTGTTTTGTTGTATCAAGCCTCAAATGTTTACAGTTATGTGTATTGGCAAGAGTTGCCTCAGCAGTGTCTTAAACTAGTCGCAGAAAACTTGTAAGTCATTGGTGACCAAAGCACTGACAGGCACCATTGACCATGGATTTAATAGTTACCAGTGTCCTTCAGCTTAATTTAATTTTAACAGTCTCTCTAAATTTTCTGCTCTGTCTGACACCAGTATTCTTAAGTTACTGGTGTCAGACGGAGAACCTGTACACTGGTGATCAACTTGTAGTCACTAGTCACCAACTGCTTTAATGACCATTGTTGTTCTTTAGTTAAATTTTATTTGAAAAATTTATTTAAATTTACTCCCTTTCTTTGTATTGATGACTTTATGGATTAAAGGATTGTAAATCAGTGGTACCTTGACTAGCACTGGAGTGCTTTAACTCAAAAATCCATCTAAATAAATTGTACTATCCTACACAATAACCCATTGGTTGACCAATAGGGATAGATGATCTGTAGATCATCAGTGACCAGTTGCTTTGAGGGACAATATTGACCCCAGGTTTCTTTATTCTTTTTATTATTTATTTATCTAAATTTACTGCATTGTCTTACATCTGTGTTACATTAATGTCCATCAACCGTGTAATACAAGTCACTAAAAACAAATAGTCTTTTGCCACAACTAATGTGCTCTGATTCAATTTTAATTTTAAAATCTATCCAAATACCAGTGACCTTTGATTTAATTATAAATTTACCTTTAGCGTGTAGGTCATTTTGATAGATGCAGGCATGTTTCATATTAATTTTATTTTAAAATTTAACTAAATGTACTGTACATTTCCTCATTGATGCCTTCTGTATTATCTCCAGGGGTCATTGTCAGTCTGTAGATCATCAGTGAATAATAGCATTAATGGCACCAATGTTCTTCAATTTTCTTTAACTTAAATATGTGTTACTTAACACAGATATGTGTCTAATTTAGCACATTTCTCCACGCCAGTGATCTATGGGTTCATACCGAGTGATTTAGAACCAGTAGGTCACCAATGACCAATAAACAGTCTGGAAGTGCCCAGATGTCCTTCAGTTTGATTACAATTTTAAAATTTATCTAAATTTACTAGACCAGAGTATATTGGTTGACATAAGTTCCATATGCTTGTAGGTCATCGGCAGAGCTGCGGAGTCAGAGCTGGAGTAGCTAAAAACAGATCGATTCCAGTTTTTGTTGGACCGTTTGAATTTGAAATGAATTGAAAAAAAATTAATGACAAGCTGAGTTATTATTTTTATTTATGAATTATATACATTAATAAATAGTTATTTTCTATTTTATTGACATATTAATAAATAAATATAAGGGAGGAGGATGGATGTGATATTTGCCATTATTAAACTGATTCATTTAGTTACAAATCTCACTGGTAAATTTAAGTAAGCAGCAATAGCAGCAAGAATTCCCAAAATTGATGGAATTCTTAGGAAGCGAGCGGGGAAAAGGAGTAATTATTGATAAAGCAACGGGATAAGGAAGTATATATTTAATGATAAAGAGATTTTTAGAGTTAAGAACTTTTTTAGAAGATGTAGATAACCCTAATGTTTTACTAACAGAAAGACTGTGGAATGTAGAGCAGAATTGGAAACTCTTCTTTCTATACTGTATATAGCCACAAAAAAGCTGCAATCTGAAGAATTGACAGGAGGCGAGAATGGAAGAATGGGATGTTTTTTTCTTTCTGAAATAGAGGGTTTATTGCAGAAAGAATGATTTCCTCTATGAAGAAAAGAGAAACTAATTTCCTAGACAATGAGATCTTGCTGGGTTCAGTATGTAGATTCAAAACACCAAATTTTCTTGGATGACGAACAAATTAAAAAAGGAAGGAAAGCCACCTATGAACTTTCATTAAGAATGAAATTATTCTCAGAACAATTGGAGAATTCGAATCAGGAGAGTCAAACTGCAGACATTGCAATTGAGTCTCTATCATCCTCTTCCAGTGATGAATTAGATTTTGAAAAATATTTTTGGGTAATATTGAAAAAGCTAAGGCAAATCTAATGAAAATAAAGGACCAAGAGCCTTTAGATATAGAAAATGAAAAAATACGAACAAGATTTCTACACTGCCTTTGAGGAAATAGAGAAATATGATTGTGCTTTGCAAGACACCTCTTTCAGAACTTGGAAAACTCTATCCTGAAAAGATAAAAGGAGTAGCCCTAACAGTAACAGCTCTTCCTCCTACTCAAGTTAGTGTGGAAAGACTGTTCTCAGCCCTGAAATTTATCAAATCGGATCTATGGCCCTCCAACAAAAAAGGTCCTTCCGAAGCTATACTGTTTCATAGAAATAACTAACGCCAGTTTTTCCATTTCATAATAAATGCTAATTAATATAAATAATTTGCTATGCCATCAATTTTTTTTTCTGTAGCATCTATTACTTCTTTTATATTAAAAAAATAAGCTGTAACCCATGTGTAAATGTTTGCATATATGTGAGGGAGTCGGAGTTGGTCATTTTCCGTATTGACTCCACAGCCCTGCTCATGGGTAACAAACAGCCATAATGAACACTAGTATGCTTAATTTTAATTTTAAAATGTATAAAAAGTGCTCTACTATCCCATACTAATAATCTATGGTTTGAACTCCCTGTAACTCTTAATCTGTAATTCTCGGGTGACCCTAACATCAGTGGTTTCTAGTGTGTTTCTGTTTAAGTATGTGTCTGAATGTGCTGCACTGCTCTACACAATTAATATCGAAGTTGACCCGCAGTTACCATCAATATATAGCTTGCCTGTGACCGGTATGGGAACCTGTGTTTTTTGGTTTAATTTAAATTTACAGGTGTATTTAAATTGGGCTTTACTATGGTACATTGGTGATGTGTGGGTTGATCATGAATGATTATTAATCTGTCCATCGCCAGTAATCAATAACCTTGAATGGGAATTGGTATGCTTCATTTTAAAATTTATCGAAATTTACTTTGCTGTGCTACATCAGTGACCTATGTGTTGACCATCCATGGCTCTGAACCTGTAGGACCTTGGTGACCAAAAGCTTCGGTGAGAGGTAATGTACTTTTAATTTTTTTAAGTTTATCCAAATTTACTGCAGTGCTCCACATCTGTGACCTATGGTTGATTGCCAGTGACCTCAGTTTGTACATCACCAATTTAATATCCTTCAGTTTAACTTAAAATGCTGTGTAAATTCAATGCACTATCCTACACCAGGGACTTATTTATTAGCCTAAAGTGATTGTCAACTTATATGTAATCAGTATTCAACAGCTTTTATGGTCACACTTGTTTAAATTTTCTTTTGTTTCAATTTTAATAATTTTAATTTTCTTTTAATAGTTTTAAATGGTGTAATTGTAACACTAAAAAGATGACAAACTATCTTGTGACAGCTAATTTGGCACTGTAGTGGAAGAGTCAGCATTGAAGATGGCTAGTTTATTCTGTTTTGTCGAAGTTTCAACTCCTATCAGTGTTGAAAGCTGAGGTAGTCAACATCGTCTGAAATAGCATTTGCTCCTCTTGTGAGCAATGTCTTGCAAACATGTGTAAAGTAGATAAAGCCTTCACACACTTCTTGTTATCTTAGATGATCTTGTAGCTAGCTAGACATGTTGGAATGGATATGATTGCTATGTTCTTAAATTACTGAGTGTTCTTTCAATTTTGCTAGCATTACATCTGTCAGGTTAAGTCGCTTGGTTGCAAATTTCTTAACTTTAGAGTTGATGGTTCAGTGGGCATAGTATTTTCAGTATTTTAAGGCAAAATGAACAACAAATGCTAATTGTGTGAATATTGTTTGAATGCAAGAAATGCAAATCAAGTGAAGGGGAAGTTATTTACAGGGTTTTCATTACTAATTGGTAGGTCTCAGTTTAATATTGCCACTTCTTTGCACCTACATAACTGCAAATTAACATAAGTTCCATATTACATAACTTAAGAAATTACCATAAACCTGCTAAAAGATTCAAATGTAAGTTAGTTAAATAAATTGTAAATGAAAATAACATTTAGTATAAAAGAAATTACTGTTAAAAGTAATTTATTTATGCTGCACTTTTTGAGATAACAGTACATTTTTTTTTAATATTTTATTATTCATTTCATTCATGAGTTATATAATATATCATTGGAAGAAGTCAAATGACAAAAACTAGCGTTATATTTGTAAATTTTCCAGTACTGGTTTCAATGGTTTAACTACCGTATCATCTTCCTCAGCTGCCAAAGTGAAACAACCTCGTTCAAATGCACTTAGCAGCTGAGGAAGATGGTTCAGTAGTTAAACCATCAAAACTAGACCTGAAAAACGTACAAATATAACACTGATTTTTGTTTGACTTCTTCCAATAATCGTTATTCAGCGCGTTATTTTAACGTAAATTGCATAATGTATTGTTAGTGTAAATAATATATTTTCATGTAATACCTAAATGATTTCCTAATAATTGTTAATTGGTAATAATAATAACCAGAAGAAAGAAATTAATTATTCTGATTATGAGACTTAGACTCTCATAATCAGAAGAAATGGTTCCTTTAACTATTTTAAAATTAAAGGCTGTAACCTTGTCAATTTTATACTAATTAAAGAGGATTTACAAGTGCCAAGGATCTGTTTCCTTAATTAAGTTTGAAATATATTATTTATTGCATAGGAATGAGAACGTTAAAATGCTAAATGGATTGGCAGCAAACTCTGTATTTCATGCTTTTTTGTGAATTATGTTACTGTTTAAATTAATAGAATTAATTTTATGTTAACTGTAAAAAATTTAAAAGAAATATCTCTTTGTTAAGTTATATTTTATAATGAATTTATTTGCAGAAATGGAAATTTCTATAATCATGTGTATAGCTGTAAAACTTGCCATATTTAAAATCTGATAAATACTGTAATGCATTTTTAAGCTCATTTGTGATGTAGTTATATTAAAAAAAAAAAAGAAAGAAAGAAACTAAACAAGGAAAGAAAGAGGCTTATAATTTTTTTTTTTTTTTCCTTTGCACAGAATCCAACATCATCTCAGATTGTATATCAACATAAGATAAATGGAGAGGATGGTTTGCTTGCAAAAAGTGGCTGCTCTTCTCGGAATTCTTGCTTTGTATATTTCGAAGTCCATTCCTCAGGGAAAATTGAATTGAAGTCCAGTAATATTTTATTGCTTTCTGAGTTTAAAGCTGCTGTTGGATTAGTGAAACCACATCTTACAGTAAGATAATTTTGTTTTTGCCCATTAATAATTAAATCAAAAACTTTTAGGTGTGATTAGTGCTGTGATCTCATAGAAAACACACTTAAATGAATTTAATGTCCAATAAATCAGTTGCATGAAAAATTATACCAATTTATTATACCTAAGATGCATTAAAATGTTAAATATAATTATGGCAAAGTATATATGATTTCTGCCTGAAGAGAGAGGTAGGCCTTTATGAAGGACCTTCCAAAGCAGATTGCCTTTTGTTCATGTTACATGGTGCAGTTGGGGACCACAAAATACTGTGCTGCCAGCACATATACTGAGATTTGAACCCATTAGCCAAAATGCTCATGGCATTTTACAAAACTTAGTAGAAATGAAAATCATCCAGCAATTTTTAATGGCAGTACACTGGTTGACTCATGATTTGAAGTAAAAATGGCATAAAGAACTTGCCTCTGGATTCATTTCTGAATTTGCAAAATATTCTTCATCCTAACAAGGTGTTAGGCGACAAAAAAATTATTATCTTGATGAACAAATATTAAAGACATTTGTAAGTTAAGAAACATGAAATATGATGAAGAAGCATAGCCAGTGTCCATTGCCGCAGTCATACTGGAACTCAGAGTTAAAAATTTTGAGGGCTTGCTTTCATACACGTTAAATTGTATTAGTTGTTATGAAATGTATTGTTTAATGAATTTTGATGTAATAAGCTTTCATTTTAACGTGTTTTGCTGCAGCTTCAAGCTCTGTAACATTTCATGAGTAATACTTTCCATGGTAGTTAACATTTAATTTCTATGTGCCTTAACGTAGTTCATTGTCATCTGATACTAGTATTTAATAAATTCTGCAGGGAAAAAAATCAGTGGAATAAGTTCAGATGAGTCAGTCTGTCTTAACCTCTTTCTATCCACCTTCTAGATGCACTAAATTGAGATAGTCACTTATTGAAAAATGGGATCGTGTCCTATCGTGCTGAAATGCAACAGTTTAAAATTTTTTTTGAAAGATTTTGAACATATCGAAATAAATTATGCCTATAATTGTTGGTTTTTTAAAATAAAAAGGGATAGTATATGCTTTCTTCTGCATAAAACCCAATCAGGCATTTATTTTTAGAATATTTTATCTTTTTTGCATTTAGAAATATCATTGATTGTTGATGTCTCCCTATTCAACTACTGTATCTATTAATTGGCTCGCAGATATGAAATGTAGCCCCATCCCCAAATAAAATATTATTCATTAAATTGCCATATTCTGTGACCTCAAGAAGATAACATACAAGACCCTGTACTACATAATTTTCTGTGTGAAATTTGTGTTACACTTGAATATGATAAGGATATTTATAGAAGGGGAAAGATAACATGTCTGTGTGACATTTTATGTTAATTTTAGCTGTCTACTAAAAAGGGGGAGGAATGCAAATGTATTATGATTACTTGCTTGTTGAACATTGCACACTGCGCATAAAAGAAAGGGGGATAGTTCTATATTTTATTTTAGCTGTCTACTAAAAAGGGGGAGGAATGCAAATGTATTATGATTACTTGCTTGTTGAACATTGCACACTGCGCATAAAAGAAAGGGGGATAGTTCTATATCTCTCGTTCTATTGGGCCGATTGACAAAATTCAAATTGCGTTTTTCATGTCTCGAAAGCGCGACTTAGGGATATTTATTAGATTTATACAGTCAAAAGTCGTTAACTCAGACACCCATAATCCGGAGTGATCAATAATCCGTACCTCAAAGCTACAAACTTTCTGCCCATGCGTCGTGTTGACGCATGCGCATAAGACCTTTACGGCTGCAAATATGCATGTGCGCATGCCCAAAATACGTTTATGCGTGCGCGTTTAATGTATAACGGACGGTATAAACTAAGCTAAAATTATCTAATTCAGTTAAGTTGCAGATTGCATTGTTCCTTAATCTTCGAATTGGATCCGGCTTATTATTTTTTGCAAACTGTTAGAGCAATTTTATAAAAGTAAGCTTGAACTTTCGATTATGTCAAATAGAATTTTCGATATATATTTACTAATATGTAAAAGATATACAAAGCAAAAGTATGTTTCGAAGTCCATTAAATAAAAAGTGGAATTGCTGTAAAAAATGGATAAAGGCATATCCTTTGTTTATCTAACCATTCTGAAATCTGTTTATCAATTTCACGCTGCTCTGCGGTGTGTGGGGGGGTAAAGCCACGGCACGCAATGAATTGGAAGTTGATCTGTCAGCACTATCCTTATCTTCAGGGCAAATGTTTTTATTTTATTTGCCTTATAATTCCTTACTAAATGTAGTATTTCATCTCGATGTACTCCGTCATTGATATGATTTAAATCAAATTCCTCGTCATTATAATTCGCTTCCAATAGTGAAGAAAGTGACACAGAGGTTATTGAAAACGAAAAAATTTCGATTGACAAATTAGTCGGTATTCTCGACAGCAATTATAGGACTTGAACAGCGGAACTTTGTAACTGAACAAGAAATTATGTGTCTGTTTATAGAATTAAAGAGAAAGTATTATCACATAAAAAACGAAGCAACTTAAACAACTTACATTGAAAGAAATGTTTAATAAAGTAAACAAATAAATATTAAGCTTTTTTTTTTTTTTTTGTAAATTTTGATACCCTTTAGATCATAATTGTTCTTTATTTCATAAATGTTTTCGGTTTATATTTTAATTTTATAATTTCTGCATGCCATCTTACCAGATTTAAACTGATGATCTATAATCCGGAATCGCCGAAGTCCCGACGAGTCCAAATTAAAAGACTTTTGACTGTATATAGCATTGTTTTAACATAGGTATTTTGACACAAAATTGAGCTTTTTCTGAAATACCATACCAATTTTTTTTTCTATATTTTGACTCTACGACTCAAATTATGCCTAAATTTTGTAAATTTGACTAAATTTTGTAAAATTTGGTGCGAAATTTACAGAGAAATTCATTATCTTGGCACAATTTTTTCAGTTTTCGCCAAGAATAATTCACTTGGCGAACTTCTTAATAATATGTGGCAACCCAATTTTCCTTTCTCTTCCATTATGCCGGCTCAGGAAAAAAGGCACCTAGTTCTCATCTTTTCACATTGTGCATGAGCGGGGAAAAAGTCATCTCATTTTTACTTACAAATAATTTTAGAAAAGTGTTTAAACCACGTTTGATGTTTTATCGCTTTCAACAAATATGTCAAATTTCGAAACACCCCAATATATTAATCATGTATATCTTCAGAAATTTTTAATAAAGAACTGCAATTTTTTTGCTTAGAAATACATTTACTTTAAGATGGTGGTAAAAATTTTATAGATTGTAATTTTAAAAAATTTTTAAATGCAAATTTTAAAAATAAATCATAAAAAATGGTTGAATTTTATTTGGAATGAACCTAAATTTCGAAATGTGAAAGGAATAAGTTCAGAATATAAGGAATAGAATCAAATAAGTTTACTAAAAAAAAGAGAGATTACTAAATATATACCAAACTCAATTAACATTGAGGCGCTAAAATTTTGAGAGCTAATTTTTAAAAAACTACTCGTGCGATTTTTACAAAACTAGTAGTTTGGCGTAATTTGAGTCGTAGAATCGAAATATGGAAAAAAATTGGTAAGTTATTTCAGAAAAAGTTTGATTTTTGTGTCAAAATACCTATATTAGAACAATGTTATATATAAATCTAATACATATCCTAAGTCGCGCTTTTGAGACATGAAAAACGCAAGTTGAATTTCGTCAATCGGCCCAGTAGAACTGGAGATTATAACTGTCCCATCTTCTCTTCCCCCCCTTTTTTTTCTTCTTTTTCAACGTATACATGGTACCTGCCAATATTTCATCAGCTCTGCTACCTCTTTTGTGATATTTATCAACAAATAGCAAGTCAGTAAATCATTATTGAAGCAAATTTTTCAAATTTACACCCATTTTAATATCAAACAACTTCTAAGGATAAATCTCTGAAATGTGTATTGTTGCATCTGTTACTAACATGTTGTAACTAGCTATTGATGTATGGAGCTAAAATAAGATGTAATTACTCTTTTATCAATATCAATCAAGATTTTATAGACACCCATTATACTTGATCCTTATAATAATCGTGCAGATTTCTTTTTTTCCATGACATACGTTGTTTAGATGAAATGCAGTTTCACTTAGTGTGATTGTGGTTAATGTTATCATTCAAATATTGTTATTGAATTGGTGAAGTACCAGTCATTTGTTTACAGAAACATGGAAAATGTATGCATCTCTTATTGTATTGTGATCAACAGTTTGGTTGTTATCAAAATATTGTAGAATGAATTTTTTGAACTGAAATAAAATTGTAAAATTAAGTCGAAATAAAGTACAGAATTTGCCAAATAGCAGAGACATGTCACCAAGTAAGTGATTAAGTTTTAAGCAGTTTGATATTGATTAAGGGAACCATGTGTAAAAGAATTCATTTTCCGAGTTTTAGGAAGAATAACTAGATTAATCGGAATTATCAAATATCGAAACGGAATTCTAGTAGATTTTGCTTTTTTACTATCTGAAAAATATCTGAAAAAATTCAAGTTGCAGCATCAATGAAAGAAGAAGATACAGTGTCTCAAAAAAGTGATGGGACGCTTGTGCTTTACAAAAGGAAACTGCAATAAAATAAATTTAAAAAACATGTAAAATTTTTTGTGGGTGTGTTTTCATACTTAAATTTAGTAACAATTATTACATAAATACATTTTCCTCAAAATATTAAAATATTAATTTAATAAAATACAATTGTTTAGAACAGAGCAGAAAATGGCTCATTTAAGTGATGGGACACTATGTACTATGCAACAAAAATCGTCTGAAGTAAGCAATAAAAATATCTTTTGGGGTATTTATTTTTACTCAAAAGCAATTGCCAATAAAATTCGCAAAATCCAACATAAATAAGAATTCTGATTGATGGAATGAAGTTATATTTGCTGATGAGAGTAAATTTAATATATTTGGTTCTGATGGTAGAATCTTGGTGTGGAGAAAACCCAGGGAAGAATTTCGCAAACAGAACTTGGTGCCAACAGTAAAACATGGTGGAGGAGGAGTTATGGTATGGGGGTGTATGTCGTCTGCTGGAGTTGGTAATCTTGTTTTTATTGACAGTATAATGGATCAGTACAAGTATATTGACATTTTAAATCTAAATTTGAAATCTTCAGCACGAAAATTGAACCTTCATAACGATTTTAAATTCTACCAGGACAATGACCCCAAGCACAGTGCTTTGAACGTTAGACTCTGGCTGCTGTATAACTGTCCTGAAATAATAAAAACACCCCCCACAATCTCCACAATTAAATCCCATAGAGAATATTTGGCAAGAATTGGAATCAAGAATTCGCAAACACACCATTTCTTCAAAACAACAATTAAAATCGGTGCTTCAAGAAGAATGGGGTAAAATCACTCCAGAAATCACAAAAAAAATTAGTCGAATCCATCCCAAGAAGATTAAATCATGTTTTAAAAGTAAAAGGAAATCCAACAAAATATTAAAACCTTTTAAAAGTAAAATTTTTTGGATAAATATTTGATGGAAAAGTAAAGTGCCCCATCACTTACGTGAGTATCCATCACTTAAGTGAGCCATTTTTTGCTCCGTTCTAAACAATTGTATTTTTATTAAATTAATATTTTAATATTTTGAGAAAATGTATGGTTATGTAATAATTGTTACTAAATTTAAGTATGAAACACACCCACAAAAATTTTACATGTTTTTTTAAATTTATTTTATTGCAGTTTCCTTTAGTAAAGCACAAGTGTCCCATCACTTTTTTGAGACACTGTACTTGCCTGTCATTTTTTAAGCATACCTAAGAACATAATATGATAAATTTTCTGGGAAAGAAAAATGCTGAAATTTGTAAATTTCCTACAAATGCTGAATTGAGATGCCCTGTGAAAGAATATTTTTCTGATCACTTAATGCTATCATTCGGCCAATGATATCAGAAAGGCATGAATAAACGTGATTGCATTAAGTGTATCCTACCGTAGTAATGATTTAGAAATAGCTGTATTCATCAGCATTTTAACAAATGTGTTGCAGTTTCTAGAAAAACAATTCATAGGTATTCAGACTTTCATCTTTGGATAAGAGCTATTGCCAGTCTTTTAGTCGGAGTTAATATCTATTCCTTAGCTTCTGAAATGAAAGGAAGGATTTAACATGTATTGTTATGAGAATATATTAAAATTTTCCTTATTAGGAGTTGAAAAAGTAAATATTGTCTGCATGCAAAATAAAAACTTTACTGTGGTAATTATGTTTTAATAATATATTTCACATTTTTAATTTTTTTCCCCAGGTTAATGTAGATGGTCCATTTGTTACTGCAAACTGTGATTTTACATTTAATATTACTTTAGAAACTGATCACATAGCTCCATTTGTTTGGCTGGAAGCTACGAGTATATCAGGACAATTTTCAGATAATGGATTCATTATGATCTTGCCTTTTCTGAATATTTCATTCTTCAGCAAAGAAGGTATTCAAGTACAAGATGTGACTAGGAATTTAAATATTTTGTCTCTAAAAGATACTTGTACTGAGTAGTCGTATTCTTACAAAGTCACAATTTTTTAGAAAGACATATAAATTCACTTTTTTTTTTATTAGAATTTCATTTTTGACCATATTTTCAATCATTCTACACCATATCCACAAATGTCTTTATGCAACCTTTATTTTTTCAACTATTAGTTGAATAAATATACTTCCAATTGCGTAAAAGTTTCAAATGATGCAGATAATCATGATCTGGAATTTATATTTAAAAATCAGCTTTGTAAAAATTATGAAATCTAACTTTTAACTTGGTTCTCTGTACCCTATAATTATATTAAAGAATATTTTTTATTTATTTTAAGAAATGAAACACCAAAGTTTGATTTTCATTGACAAAAATTATTTAATTTCAAAGCTTCAAATTTTTTACATATTTTTCTGCTTGCCTTGAAGAGTTGATTAAAAAAGAATATTTTTTTTTTATTCTTTAGTAATTTACTAATGTGTAATATTCTTTATCATTTTGTTACAACTGGCATGCCAAAGAAATTTTTATAAGTTTTCAAATGCTAAAAATAAATTTTTAATGCTGTCAATAAATTTTATTATTTAGATTTGTAGACTAATAATCATAAAGAAATTCTTTAAATTAGAAAATATTTTTAATTTTGAATTTATGCAGTGTTGCTACTAGTTGGGTATGCATCAAATACTGGAGTCAGCATATGTTTTCTTGAATTCTGTAAGATTTCCTTTTTGAAAAAAAGGTATAATTTTCATGGTAGTGCTCATCACTTAGTCTATTAACATCAGAAACGTTTTTTAAAAAAAAAAAAAAAAATTATTTTTTTGTTACTTACTAATACAAATAATTCACTCTTCAATTTGTATACAGCTTCTGAATATGGTCTCGAACCTTAAAATTAAATATCTTTTTAAAGATTTCTCTTGCAATAGGGAAAATAACAATAGAGAATGGTGGACTGTTTAAAAAGTTAGGTTTCATAACTTTTAAAAAACATATTTTTAATTTTAAAATGCCAAAACATGAATATTTACTTCATTTAAAACAGTAAACTTTTGTAATTGGAAGTATATGCATGTGCTCAATGATAGCGAAAATTAAGGCCACATCAGGATTTTGTAGATTCAGTCTGTATGAAGTGCTTTGAAGTAACATTTTTACAGAGCTTAAATATATTTATTTTCTTAGTTTTAAACAAGTCATAATTTAAATTTCAATATAATTTATGGGTCTAATTGAAACAATTATACTGTAGTATGTGAGTATTTTATGTATTTAATTAAACTAAAATATGTGAATTCATTTACTTATTTAGACAGTTTATAAAGACATTTTTGTGTTTTTGTACCTTGTTCTCTAAATTTAAAATGGTTCCTACTTATGTTTTGTTTCCTTAAAAGTAATTCATTTTGTATTCATTAAATGAATGTGATCCTTTGTATTGATTAAACTGAGTGAATAATGATATTCTATATTGTTATAAAGAGAAATGGATTGGAACTACTAAATGAAAAAAAATTCTAAGTCTTCTATTTAGAGCAATTTTTTAGTAAGTAAAATTTTCAGATCAACAAAATGCATCATCACAAAAACATTTTAATTCACTCAAAGCAGAGGGCTGTGATAATACTTAAATGAATCATTTAGATCATTGCCACAGAAATGAGTTACCTTATTTTGAGTTTTTATTGTTGTTTAATTTAGCAAAGAAGAAAAATATTTTGGGGATAATTTGAAAATTATCATCTTGTTTGTCCATAATAGCAGCAAAAGAATCTGCGTAATGAAGATTTTGAAAAAGAGGTCTACTTCCTCATTTAATTTGTGTCTTTTTACTGAATTCATATTCACACATTAAAATCAATTGTAATACTATTTAGCTCAAATAACCGAAAGGTAATATCTGCCATATTATAGAAATAATTAAATTTGCAAAAACTGTTTGCATTGCTATTAAATGTCTGGATGTTCCTTTTTGTAAACCTCAGTAGATAATTAAAATGGACAGTGAACTAAAAACAATTACTCCTTATGTACATCATTGACTTGTAATTAGGGAAGGAAGCCCTAATAAAAAAAAATAACTAGTATTGTATTGTGCATAGTTCCCTCCCCCTTTTTTTAATATGGTTCTTTATAATATTTTAAACAATTAACCAATAGATTCTTTACTTATGAGCATGGTTTAAAAAATCTAATTTTAATGCTAATTACAACTCAGATGCTCCGCAGATTTAAATATAAACATGAAGAAGTTTGCAAAAAGAAGCTTTTTTTTTTTTTTTTTTTTCCCATTGTGATAATAAATTTTGGGAAAATTTAGCTTTTCATCCTTGTTATGGAATTATAGAATGCATAGAAATCAAACTGATTGCTTACAGTGTTTTCTTCCCAAAAAGATTAAAATTTCTTTAGTAGTAGCATATATAGCATGAACTCTTTTGCATAATACATATATGTACTTTGCTATGATTGGTCCTCTTGGAAAATAGTAGTTGAAAAGGGGAAATTTACGTTAGTCAGACCGCACCCAATTACATCATTTAAGGGTTTTTAATTAATATTAATGAGTTCTGAGGTTTATATTTAAATATAAAATATCCAAAGCTAGTTTACAGCTTTCAATGGCTTGGTAAGAGTTTTGGATACAGAGCAGGAAGGCATCGGGGTCAAATCCCAAGTGGGTGAGTCTATTAGAACTTTGCTAAGTAATGTCTCAGCTTATGTAGAAAGGGCATGTTTAAAGAGAGCAGTAGAGTCAGATAAGTTATGGGGACTCTAAAATTATTTTAATCACTATTCAGAGTCTCATTCTTTAGTAAAAAATGTCTAGAATTTATTTTTAACTTTTGAGCTCATTTGGTAAGAGCAGTTTACGTACACAGCATGAAGGTGTTATATTCAAACCCAAGCCTGAGCTCAAGCTTTCTTTGAATACTAAATTTCATTATTAAATAGCTAAAAGAATTCAAGAAATTTGCATCTATATTTAGCTAACTATATACACCTTGTCTATAAAAGTCCTAATGCAGAATTTATTTTTGCAACCATTAAGACATATATACTTCCTCTTATAAAAATGTTTTCATTAATGCAAATGCTTTGACAATTTTTTAATTTTAAAAGATCTAGTTTATATAAGTTATGTAATCTAACTTTTTGTATGTTTCTCCAATATCCATTGTTTAGTGAATATTTATGCTCACTGTAAGCAATAAAACTCAAAACGTTTGAGTCTTGTACAAAAATAATTGACTAAGATATTTAATTTCAAAATTTAAGATTTTTTATGTCATTTTTAGCTTTCCTTGAGGGTTTGGTTAAAAAATAAATTAGATTTCGAGATAGTTCCCCGCCCCTCATATAATGTCAGTCAGTGATATTCTTTAGTGATTTACTAGTGTGTAACACTGTAATACATAATTATTACATATCATGTGCTGAAAGCATTTAAGTAATTTTTGCTTTTTTAAATGTTAAAAATACGTTATCAGTATTCTGATGCAGTTTTATTACTGTAGAATCACAATCGAATAATCATACAAAAAAAAAAACATTAAACTTTTCAGTCTTTAATTTATGAAAATATTGTTGGGAGTAAGTTATGAGCCAATGATTAAAACTGCGCTACTTTCTAGAATACAAATTCTGTAGGATTTTGTGAATAAGATCATCTTTTTAAAAATATGTAATAAAAAAGGGGGATTTTTGGTGGTGTAGAACGTTGAATCGGAAATGAAGAGCAAGAATTTTGGGGGTGTAGAATGCTAAAATATTGATCCACAATAAATAGGAAACTGGCAATTGAGGTGGATTAAATTCCATTTTTATTTAAATTGATGTTTGTAGTCACAATTCGCGTGGCACTCAAATCGTGCCTATTAAAGAACATTTAAATTTTTGATACTGTTATGCTAAGAAGAGAGCACAGCAAAATAGCATCCAAGCTGCAACAAAGGTAGAAGCTAAGTGCACAATTATCCAACAGGGAAGCTCGCCAAGAGGAAGGTTTTGGTTTTAGTTTAGAAAGGTTTTAGTTCTCAAAATTTTGAATTCATGTTCTGAATTACCCACATCATCTGCATTGCACAGACCATGCAAGATGGATTGGACACAGTCCAGAGAAGTTATTAGGATTTTTAGAATAGAGAGGGAGAATTAAGGGGTTACCGTTAGTTTAAATTATAATTTTGATTTACATATTTTTTTCCTACAGATTCCCTCCTTCAAAGAGATAAATATGCATTATCAAAAAGTTCTGAAAGATGATGAAAAAGCTGCCACTGTTTTATGTGCATGTTTGGTATTAAATGAAAAGGAGAGGGATCTTTTTCTCAGGTGTTTAAGAAAGATTAAGAAGTTTATGAAGTTCATTTACCTGAAAAATTTGAAAATATATTTTCTCAGGGGGAAATAAAAGGAAAAAAGCATGTAAAGATTCTCCCAGTAATGACTCTCTTGCAGATTTAATCAAAAAAAAATTAAGCTTTAACTTGGGATAAGCGAGAAGAATGTTTAAAAATTATACATGCATTTAAAGAAATATTAATCGTGAAATGACTGGAGATTGTTAAAAGATGTGTAGCATGTTCATCTGGATGTGTTTAACTGAATTGCTGTGTATCTATAGTAATTTTTATTTTCTATATTTTTTGGTCTTAAACTTTTCAATTTTTATGTAAAAATGTATTGATTATAATTAGAAGTGTTGTTTTATGAGTGTTATTTGTTTGCAAATATGGTTTAATGATTGAATAACTTAGTAATCAAGAAATTTTTAAAAATAGAAGCTGAAGTGTTTCCTCTTATGTAGAGGATAATAACTAAGAGCTTATCGACTTCTCATCTTTTCATATTTCATCTTTCTTACTTTTGATCATTTCATAATCCAGGGTTCGTACAGTCCTTAAGAGTCCTTAAAAGTCCTTAAATTTTTTTGAATCGATTTTTGGTCCTTAAAAGTCCTTAATTTTGGTCAAATTCAACAGAAGGTCCTGAATTTTAATCATCTAAAATTTCTGTCTGTTTTTATGACTGTCATTTTGAGTGTGAATTAGCATTTTAAAGAATGTTTTTGACGATTCACTGCCGTATATATGGTAATCTTTTGAATAGGTTCATGAGGTTGTAATTTGTTTCTATTTCTAATATAAATGATGGGATACTCGAGTTTCTAAGCAAGAAGTGAAATATAAGCATTTTGAAATTCATTTTTTCTAGTAAAGAGCTCTTAAACAACTTTTTGCTTTTGGGGATGTGAATTCTTTTTTTAAACGGTTCTAAATTTGGCGACTTTTCAACATTTTGGCGATTTTAAGATTACTTTTTATAAAA